GAGTGTTTGGGAATATACACACACACACACACACATACATATATGTGCGTGTGTATGTATTTTCTTTTGTTCTATATGTACTTGCTTTTATTACATAATGTTTTTGCTCCATAATGTAACATTTTTTTAAAAAAACGTTTCATTGTGTCTCTATGGTTTTTGTAGTTGTTGGTCTTCCGGCAGGTTAATTTCTTCTGGTATAGAAGTTTTACATTTTTATGTAATTTCCATGATTTTATCTTTATTGTTTCTGCCTTTGATGTCATGTACAGAAAATCTTCATATCTTAATGTTTAAATATTTTCTTAGTACTTTCAAGGTTCATTTTTTTAAAAAATACTTGTTTTCAGAAATAGTACAAAGAGCTCTTCCTCCACTAAACCATTTGAGAGCAATTTGCCAATATAGTACTTTGTCACCCCTGAATACATTAGTGTGTATTTCCTCTAAAGAAGGACATTCTCCTACACAACTAGCATACAGGGAATTAACATCAATAAATTATTCCCATAAAAATATAAAAGCAAATATAGGAGATTATGTATATGTATATGTATATCTATACAATTTTTAAATTAAAAAAAGATATAGATATGTTACGTAATGTATTTCATTGAGCAAATCTGCTGTAAAATACACCTTTAAAGTGTTAAAAAAGCAAACATGTCATTTTGAGCACTAAAGTGCATCTGATCCAAGCCTTGGTATTTTCAATAACCTTATATGCATGTGAAAACTGGATGATGAATAAGGAAGATGAAAGGATTGATGTCCTTGAATAATATTGAATACACTATGGACTGCCAGAAGAATGAACAAATTTGTATTGGAAGAAATATAAGCAGAATGCTCTTTAGAAGTGAGGATGGTGAGACATCATCTCATGTACTTTGGACATATTATTGGAAAGCCCCAGTCTGTGGAGAAGGACATTATGTTTGGTAAAGTAGGGGGTCAGCAAAAAAGAGGAAGACCCTCAATGAGATGGATTGATGCAGTCATTGTAACAAAGGGTTCAGGCATAACAACAGTTGTGAAGATGGCACAGGACAGGGCAATGTTTCTTTCTGTTGTACACAGGGTCATTATGAGTCGGCACCTAGCAACAACTGTATATATGCATTCATCTAGATATTTATCTATAGTGGTATTTTGTTCTTCTCCATAATGTAATTGTTTAGCAATTAGTCAGTAACTTGTATTCCATTAATTTTTATACTTTTTTTTTCTCATTTTCTGTGAAAGTTTGCATATCATATACTTTTGAGGCTGTCTGTCGAACAGAACAAGGGGATACTGTATCGTTTAAAATCAGGAAGGGAGTGTATCAGGCTTGTGTCCTTTCCCCATACTTATTCAATCTGTGTGGTGAGCAAATAATCTGAGAAGCTGGACTATATAAAGAAGAACATGGCATCAGGATTGGAGGAAGAGTCATTAACAACCT